GGCCTTCATTTGCTTATTTCCCATACATTTTCTATAAAAAAGCCTGACAAAGCAGCTTTCTTACACAAATGCAACAAAACATCTTTGTACAATTGAAAATACCGCTTCAAACAGGCATTTTATCATAGTACATCAGTTTCTAACTGTAAGAAAGGTTTTGAGTGTTAACCCACAACGAAAATTAGGATCAAAACTCATACGAAAGTCTAATTTTTGGCGCTTTTTGCCATTATTGCTCATTATTGAAAAAAAATTCCTCTTAAAGATTAAATAAATGCTTAAGGGCAGTCTTTTTGTCCACTCATGCTTTGCGCGCAGCGTTCACCGCTCAGCTGGTTTTTTATATTCGAAAATACTTGAACTTTTTCACACTGGAAAAACAAAAGAGATTTAACATAACCAAGGCAACTTCCTTAATGCGCTTATTTAGTGTAAAATTTTAATTATCATTCAACTTATCCAAAATTCGATTTCTTTTTTTTTTTTCATTCAAAGAAAAACGTATTAAGCAGGAAGGCGCCGATCTAGGTTTTTTGTGAGAAAGAATCTATTAGATTTTCTCTAATTTCTTTTTATTCTATTTTAATGGTTATTTGAACAATTAAAACGAAAGTTGACTCTTCGAAAGAACGAATAGTCTTTATTAAGATATTCGCTATCTGTTAGCTTAAGTTTCACCGACCAATGTGACAGTTTACTTCCTATATGGATTATTTAACTGCAAATAGTTGTCTTGTATCGATGAGAATTTAAATTTTTGTTGAAGTGACTAACAATAGTAAGGCCCTGGCTAAACGAGGAAACATCGGGAAACATTGTTTCCATACGTCTTGGAAACATGAAATGTTTCTACCGTAAAGTCTTGGAAGCAAAAATAGCCGGCTGAGCCAAGATTAAAATTAAGCATTTAGTGGTTGGCGGGGTTATCTAGTGATTGTTCATACTTTAATAATCATCTTAAAAAAAGTTTTTCCCCGAAGCCCTTCCAGGTGCTGCATGCAACCAATTTAATTTGGCCTCGGAGCTGCTTCTAAAACGGATAATAATTCTAAAAAACTAGAAGAGATAACTAGCTAAAAACTAATGTGAAAAGCTAAAAAACTAGGTCAATTTTTACCTATGAAATAGTAACGAATTACTTTAAAAAAAGATGTTTATTAATTTATTCTGGTTTTGGCTGCTAGAAGAGCAGACTCCTTTGAATTTACCACAACGACTCGAGCTGAAATTCGCTAAGCAGTGTTATAAAACATGATTTAAGTCTGAAGACAATCTGCTTTAGATGCGCTTCAAATTAAATATAAGACAATTCTAGATCTTAACTCGCTATCTACTTGCAGTTTTGAGAGTATTACGTCAGAGTGGGATTACTTTTGAAAAGGTTCAGATATTTGAATTATAATATACTGCAGTACTTGCCTAACTGGTAATCGTATAAATCTCTCAGTCGATAATAAAGACATCCTCTATTGTGGGGATCTTTATTTGTTGTTGCATGGCTTGAATAGACGTTTTCATGTCTTTTGGCCGCCTAGTTTTCATAGAAAAAAAGTCTATTTTTACCGTTTCGTAATATAAACAGCCTTTTTAGTCTTCGGCTTTTCTTAGGTTTTCCTGCTGCTTTAAACCCTTTCGATGGTTGTTTACTGATCCGGGATCCAGTAGTTTTTTTTGCCTTTGTTTGCTTAATTAACAGTGTTTTCACTGTTGAGATTTCGGTAAGTTTTGAAAAGCAACGGATAGAAAATTAGTGRCCGATATCGTGATAAGGACGATTCTCCATTTTAGCTCACAGCTTGTGTCGTTTTTTAGCGTTTTTCTTTTAAAGCCTTATCTTTCGTAGTCTCCCTCGCATCCGTTTTTAGTGGATGTGAGGGAGACTATATCATTCGCGACTCCTTATTTAAAAAAGCTTTCTTTACAATTAATTTGGAGATAAATTTGGCCGGAATTTGGAGTCACCGAACAAAAAGATTTCCAAAAGTTAAGTGTTAAAATCGAAGGAAAATTAACTACTAAATGTAAATAAACCAGAAAGAAAGCAGTTCAATTTAAATGAAGAAAATACAAACTTTCCTGAATTCTAGGTTATCAAGGAATTAAATTTACAAAGCGAAGTATTGGGTAAATAAACCATGTTAAACCAAAGATAAACAAAACCAAATGAAAACTACACAGTACGTTAAAAATGATGGCTGAGTTCTTTCAGAAAAAAATTCAGTGAACACACTTTGCGGCGAGCAGAAAAGTTTTTGTTTT